CAAGTCGTCTCACGAATAAGAGTCTTCAAATTGTCTTGGTTGGCGGAGATGAATGCAACTCAGCTAAAAATAGGATAAATGACAGCATGGCCTGGTCTGTGGCGTTGCCGAAAATGTTGACGGGGAGAAACTCCGGCTTGGCTTGGGTAAGTCTGGGAGCAGATCACTCTCACCCTGTAGTAATATCGGAGCGTTCGAGCAAATGGGAGTTGGGAAGTAGCCTTACGTTCTCATTTCAGCCGAGAGAAACACGAGAAACGGGATGGCTGCCATGCGACCAGACTTGCGGTTTGGAAGTGGATGCGGACGTGGTGGTGGCTCCAGAGGCGAGGTTGTGGGCGCCGGGGACGTGGTTTCGGTTTGGGTTGCCGTTGGCGTTGGGGCATGTGGTGGGGAAGTGTGTGTTGGTGTTTTTGTGGGGGAGGAGGTTGTTGAGGGGAGGGAGGTAGTGACTTGTGGTGGTGGTTCTTGATTTTCACTCACGATGTAGACAAACAAAAATGAGACTGGTGGGCTGTGTCGAGTATACAACCGGCTCACTGGTGTAAGACGATAAATAATAAACCAATCGCCCCTTCTCGCCCGTATAAATACACGCGGCTCCAAATCAGAACGGCGTACCTCGGCAGCACTCGACAGCGGCACTTACCATCTTGGCTACCTACCCATCATGAACCCATGTAAACGCCTGTAATGCCTTTTCGCCTTCCTGCGCCACCATCCTCCCTAATCCCCCAAAGCTAAGAAAAATGGTATTGAAGACAATTGATTGATGATGTTTAACATCGCCATTGAAATGAACAAAAGAAACACCCCGGAACTATTCTGGTAACCACACAAGCTCAATAATGCCATCCCGGTTATTCATCGGTGACCCATCCCCGTTTGTCCACCGCCCATCCTTCCGCTTGGCCACGTACACCTGGCTGACACTGCCGTCCTCGTTGACGTTCGCCTCGAGCAGCTCCCAGGCGATCTTGCGCCCCGACTTACGGAGCGGCGGCCGCTGCGGGCCCATCATAAAGTCGAGGTTCCACCCCTTGTCGTCCGGCGCCGGGCGAAACGTCGCCTCGATTTGGTTCAGGTCGAAGTCGATGCCGCGTGGGTAGTACGCGATGCTGTAGCCGTTGGAAATGACGAAATCATCGGCCGTCTGGAACCGCTGCATTGTGCAGTCCTCACCGCAGGCATGCGCCACCTTGGTGTAGTGCCACGGGTAGGCAACGTGCCAGATGCCGCCGCGGTAGTGGTGGAGAGACAGTGGCTTGATGCCGGATTCGTAGAAGCCTGACGGGTCGCCGAGGAAGTCGAGCTGCCACAGGTCGTTGAGGAGCGTGAGCCTGACCTCGGAGTTGTCGTAGATACACTGCCGCAACATGATATCGCCCCTGCGGGCCCCAACCCGAGTCGGATTGGCGGATCTTCTGGTCGCTGCTGCAGCTCTCGAACCTGTCGGCGATGATGGCAGCCATGGGGCACACTGAAGGAACACGCCGGCGCCCCCCAATGGCTTGCAACCCATGTCTGTTGATTGTTGTTGACGTTCTTCCCTAGAAGCACCAATGGTCCTTGGGGCTTTTGTTGATCTGATGGGGCTAAACTGTTTGAGAGACCATTGAACGACGGGAAGAAAGTGTCGTCGTCACAGATAACGAGCCACTTCTTGTTGACACGCTCGGGGTGGTTGTACAGCCGGGGCGCGAGAGCCAGGTAGCGGACCGCCATGATGAGGTTCGGGTCTGAACGGTACACGTCCACGTCGATGCCGACGTTGGCAAGCCTGCTGTACGCGTCCTCCAGCTGATCATCCGAGGCATCTAGCAGAAGCAACACGAGCTTCCCACCGTTAGACTTGCCCTTGCCGTCCGTGAGCCAGTAGGTCCACTCGTTAATTGAGCTTGTCCGCGGGTCAACGAATCGCTTGTAGGTAGTTGATACGCCAAACATAAAGTCGGAGGCGTTGGCCGTGCTCGGGACAGGGGGACATGGTGACTGGGGCGATGAGAGGTTCCGGGCAGGACTCCGCCTGGTACTGCTTGTTCACATCCACCACCTTGACTGGCGTCGGCGAGGAAGTCTTGGTCAAGGCGCGTGACTGATTTTCTCGGGATGTCCTCTCGGCTGGCCTGCACATAGCGTTTCGTGTACTCAAATACTTCCTCGAGGCCGTAGAGTTCCTGCCACCTCTTGAGACGTTCCATGTCGTACCCGCAGGTCATGACATGAGACGAATTGGATATCGTTGGCTGGACTTCATCCCCCCCGACGACCACATCCTGCTCGCCTAGCTCCCCATCCGGCCCCCAGCCAGCCGATTCGGGGCGGCCCATGGGAGTTTGCACCGTCATCGCCTCCCGCGCAGAGGCAGCTGTTTTGAGAATGGCTGCTCTCACGTCGACATCGGGTGGAAGGAATATCCCACCGATGGCGAACATGGCGACGGCGAGTATGAGAGCCCTTACCAAGGTGTTCCGCATGCTGAAGAAGCGGTGCCGGGGTATTGTGGCGCCCATCGTGAAGTGATTGCGGATGGCGTGTGATCTCGGTTGGAGGGCGAGAGAAGCCGCTGAAGGGCAAAGTTGGGGGCCAAGTTGGCCTGCACCTGCCAGCAGAAGATCGGTGCAGTGGCGTGGCGGTTTCAAGTCGTGAGGAAAGTGCGACTCGAGCACCCGATAAAGGCAACCGCGCCCAGGTTTCGGGGAAAGGGTCTTGCTCCAAAGTGATCGCAAAGTTTTTGAGCTGAGGAGGGGAACTTGTTCTTGACTTGCAGAAACAAGCAAAAAAATAAAAGGATAGAAAGGTAGAATATGGGGAAGATGAAACAAAACGAACGGAACAAAGGACCTCGGTGAGACAGGGTACAACAGAGCGGGTGTGACAGTCTTGAAAACTTATTCAGGAATAGCGAGGGGCGAGCATAACACAACAAGGATGATGACTGATTGTCAGGGGAAGCATGGAAACGTGGTCGCGAGTGAGGAAACGAGGGCACTTATGTCCAGCCACCCTGGCAGAGGCAATATGACGCGTCCGCACAGTGTCGACCAATGTCCCGTTAATGGCGACTTGACCTGCCATAAAAACCTCCATCGGGTCATCAAGTACCGTCCAACACGGCGTAGCCGAGGGGAACACAAAGTCAAGTTGAACATGGTGATCAGCCATCTCCAACCAGATTAGGGGATTCGGAAGGAGCATAACTTCTCTCATAAAAAAGAATAGAAAGACGGTTGAGGATCAGTCCTTGGAACGTCACAGGTTAAAAGCGTCCTTGGCGATCACCGAGGAGGGAAACAATAAAGAATGGGCGCTTACCTGGCTGCGCAGAGCATGCACCTCCCCACCCGCCGCGCTAGGCTCTTCTTGCTTAACATTCGTTCGGGTTCCACCCATTCAGGGTCCGCGGTACGCCCATGCCACAACCGGGTTTGAGATCAGCAGATCTTCAACTGCGTCCTTGATTCCTGGCGGGGATTGGCTGCGAGGATTGGCAGGAAGGCCCTCCTTCAATCCGGTCATTTTCTGCTCACCGCTCGGGAAATCGATAATTACCTATCCTTGACTGTGAGTTTTTGCAACATATTTCTTTCTTGCTGCAAGAAAAAAGAAACACTGTGCTTTTTGCGGCTCGACTCCGCCCCCAAGCCTCGTAAGCTTTTACTAGCGATGTCGTATTTCTTGGGGTTTGACAATGAGGTCATCAGCGGGGATTCCTGGAGCCCCTTCGAGAGCCGTTTCAGATGTGTGGGGTCCCTTGCGAGCAGCAGAATGGCAGCCAGGCAGTGCAGTGGTGGTCCATGGTCCGGTAAAAGAGATGTCGATCTCGAAGCCGTCGATCAAAAGTGCCGTTGGGATCTGCGATGCTGGCGACTAGGGGCTGTTTTTTCCTCCAGTCAGTTGGAGCGAGGTGCAAGTCGAAGACGGGAGAAGGGGAGAGGTCAGGGATGCAGCAATCTATAGCCTTCCAACGTATGTGTATATTTTCCCAAGCGAACGAGGTAGCACCCGATCCAATACCGCAAGGTTGCACCAGCACATGGACTTTCTCCTTGAGGGTGGTTGAGCGAAGAATCGAGATGAAGAAGGCCGCGGTCTAGATCGACGGTGTGCCAAGCGCCGAGCACTCAGCACAAAACTAAGCTCCCGCTGCCGTCGCTTGGCATTTGGTCTCACGATCTGACAACCCCGCGAAAAGGATGCAGAGAAGCCTTGCTTGACTTGCCATTCGCTTTTAAACGCTAAATCAATACGAAAAAGTCCCAGAAATACAAGCAAGTGCGCCCTTTGAAACTGTTACCGCGCCACAGACCAATGGTGAGACAAGTCTCGCCAAACCGCAGTGAGACGGAAAGTGAGACAACGACTCGTAAGTCGTAAAACAGAAAAGGGGCGAGTTGGGCTTTGGTTGTGCGGCCAAGCCAAACCTTCTTATCTTATCGGCCCCTTATCTTATCGGGACCGTAACGTAGCGCCTTCGAACACTCGGCCATCCCTTGAGTTTCGATGTTTTTTTGGACCCCAAATTCACACCAACCTCGACCCTTCCAACCTCCCACCCCTCCAATCCTCCCACATCCCCACCGACCCGGCGGCTTCCATCACCGCCCCATTCCTCTCCCGCACCACCACCGGCGCCGGAGCAAACCGTACCTTACTGCCACTCCCTCTCCCACCAGCATTCACGCCACCCCGACCCAGCAACACTTCAAAAACCCCCCTCATCCGCCCCAACACCACCCTTGTCCTCCCCCCCGCCAAATCCACCATAAACCTCACCACCACATCCCGTCCCTCTCCCTCCCCTTCCCCAACCCCGCGATCTACACCGTTCTGATGAGGTTTGGAGTCTCCCCGGGTCCGTAAAGCCAACGAACTAGATGAAACTGCCCCCGCCCCAACTTTGCCACCGAAGCGGCTTCGCCATGGGA